TTGATGTGTCTAATGCAAATAGATCTTCACTAATTGTAACTTGTATTTATCAGAAGAAAAGATACAATTCAGGCATAACATCAGAACATTGATCCAAAATTACCCAGAATGTCGCCAGCCATGAATTTATGTCGGGAAGCCCAGTCGGAGTACGCCACAACGCCTTCAGGAGGAACAGTCCACCCTAAACTGTCCCCTACAATATATGTTTTCCCGGTGGAGACTGGTACAAGTGCGGCGGCTACCACTACCATGACCGCCACAAGATAGGACATTTCCACCGTGAATGCGTGTATTCTGCGTGTCAGCCAAATCAATATTCTTACCTTGTATACAAAATGAACAGGGAAAGTCGGAGCAATTAGCTGGCCTTGGGAGTTGTTAGAGGGATTTTTTCACCAAGAAACCAATGGAAATTCAATTGGATCAGCATGGTGGAAGTCAACTCGGCAAGAAGATTTAAAAAATTTGGTAAGTACGTTCCCCAAAAATATTTAGGAGTTACAAGTCTTGACTTGGATATAATTTTCACACATTTGGCCCGTATTAGTCTACCCGTATTCAATGAAAACGAGTTTTCGAATAGCGAAAATTTTAAAGAATGTGTAATTAAAAAGTAAGAAAAAGTTTTAAATTTAGATTCAAGATATTTTATTATGAAAATGTGTGATTGGAAATGAGTTTGAATAATAATGAAGTTATTGTACACCGAAATCAAATTATGAAAACTCGCAAGGAACAAGTATAATTTATAAAATGTGTCATTTTTAATATTGTCGTAATATTGTTTTATATTTTTATCATCGTTAAATCCATGACCAAAAACTCAAAGTTCAGTGTCGATAAAATTGTGCCCGCACTAAAGGAATTTCTTGGCTCCGCCCTTGTAGTCATCCACATGAAATTAAAACGTTCATTCAATTCAACTATATGCAATTCTTCGCCTTCCTTAAAAAATCTGCGATAACCTTTCATTCTACACGCTCATCTTGCTATTTGTCATTTTCAATCTCACAAACAATCTATTTTCTTCCTCCTCATATGACCCTACTTGTGGTTACGCATAGTCAGACCTAAGGAGGGGCCTAAAAGTTCGCTGCTTCAGGCCCAGTTCTTTAGGGGTCCAAAAGAAATTTTGTTTCTTTTTTTTTAACCCACGATTGTTTGTACTCGTTAGGAGTGGGCGCGATCTGGTTCGATCTAATTCTAAAAGAAATCAAATCGAATCATATCGAACCGGGTACCAATGAAAACCTTAGAAATGGAACCATTGGTTCCATATCCAACTATAGAACCAAACCAACTGGTTTTGATTCGGTCTAATCCAGTTCTTTATATTGAGAAATTATAAAATTAAAATATGAAATTACTTGTCAATTGAAAATAGACAACAATAGAGTATGAAATCATTTGTCATTCTTTTAATCTAAAAATATTAAAAAACAATTGAACAAGGCAATAAACTAAAATTTACTCCAAAGCTTAATATCAACTCATAAAGGTGAAAAAAATATGAACTATTAAATGCAGCATAAACAGTAAAATCTTGATTGAAAAATGGGTTTTAAGAAAATTCGTATAACAATAGCCTATTATCTTTAGTACTTCTCGATGATCTTGATTCTTGATGGCCGATCACTATGGAAACAACAAAAAATTTTGAATTCTTATGAAATATTGAACTAAAAATATTTTTTTCCTATTGGGTTGCATTAAAGTTATGAATTTGTAAAGTATTTACAAAATTATTTAGATTTGAATTTTGATTACCCATTAAAGGAATGAAGAAGAAGCATATGGAAAATTAAATTTTAACATGAGATAATTTTGGGATCTAGTTTTTAAAAATCTAGTGCATTTTGGTAGAAGTAAAAAGAGAAATTCAGGAGAATCGAATTCTGATTTTCAAGACACTACAGAGAACTGGACCGAACCGACCAATTCTCAATGCATTGTCCCAAAATAGACCCATTAGTAGAGGAACCGAAATCTAACCAATCGATTCTATTTGATTCGGTCCGGTTCCACCGATTTCGGGAAAAAATGCCTACCTCTAGTATCCGTTCACTCTCGCTTGGATGCTCCAAACAATGAGGTTTTTTCAACAATGATATCGTGAATCACAAAATCAGTGTTTGGATTAAAAATACTCATTCTATTGTGTAACACCCTAGATATTTATGCATCATTACACATATGTTTGTTGATCCGATTGTGTATTAACCCTAGTTTTTTTAATTGCTTTGATTGGTAGCTTCTATACATTTAATGATTTGTCTCTAAATTCAATTATATTTTTTCAAAACCTAGTTGATTGGATCAATAATTTGTGTGTGAAATTGAATTGTTTTTTTCTCGAAATTAATGTGAATTTTTTCCTTCTATGGGGTAATTGGGGTGCAATTTATGGTTAAATATGACGTAATTTAATTTTTTTCCATTTTATTCTATTACAATATGAAAATATTTATGACCTTGTATGATATACTGTTATTGTTGTTGCATTTTTTTCCTCTAAAGGCCATGAGCCATGTGCAAAGTGAACGAATGTGTAAACTTTTTAACCACTTTTACAAATGATAAGTTTATTTCCTATTTTATTTGAAATTGAATTCATTGTAAATACAAAATGTGTTTACCTTAGACATGTAATTGAAGGAAATCTTCTCCCACTATAGCTAAGTTAGAAACATTAATAATCATTTATTACTTTTATTTTTTTTTATTTTCCATTTATAGATTGTTAGGACACTTTTTTTTTAATACCAATTTGGCCTCGTAGATATCTCATAACCATATTGTAGAATAGAAACAAAAATCTTGTTTTGATTATGTACTTGTGGAATGGAATATTTAGGAAAGCAACAAAAGGTCAAAAAGTGAGTCAAATTCCATGGCTCCTAAATGTGCATTTAGAAGCATTCATTTGAAGCCATGCGAGAGATAACTTTAATGGCTAGAAAATGAAAAAGAAAGAAGGAATAATGGAAAATTTAGTAATTGAGGAACAATCGAATCAAAATGACAATGATAATGATAATGTGGATTTATCGAAAGAGAACGATGAAATGATTGCACCTGGAATGTGAATGGATCAAAGCAAAAAGGTGAAAATAATGTTTTGCCTGAAGATTTAAATCAAGAGAATTACTTTTCTCTGAATTTTGATGATTTTGGAAATTGCTGATCAAAAGGTGAGGGACTTTTTAGTTGAAATGACTTAAAAAAAGAGTTGATGATATCTTTTCATTTTATTTGTTATTTTTATTGTTGATTTTAAGTTAACAACTTTAGTTCCTTAACTCTTGCAAATGAAAAAAATTAATTGTTTGCTACGATTTAGGAGTTCAGATTCTGAAATTCGCCTCGAGGCTTGCAAAATATAGGTACGACCGCTTCTCTTTAAAAGCCTTTGCTTGCTACCCTACCC